CTCTAAATTGCTTTGTGATGTAATGAATATGCATACACCTGGATTCCCCCTCACAGTAATAGGATTGGCTGGTGTCAGCCATAAATACAGACTGATGTGGAGGTACATGGTTGACGCCTATTGACTACGCCAAGGTCCAGTCCATTACGGTTACCTGCTAAATTGTTCTACTCAGTTGCAGTAGTCCAAAACCACTTTGCTACTTTGAACAAATATATCCCTTTCCGGGACATATCACTTTGTTTCCAATGAGAACAGAAAACAAGAAAAATGTTTTCAGGCTATAAATTTAATAAATTAGAAATTTGTCTACCATTGCTGTGAAACATTTTGTAGTGGTAACACTGCATTGTGACAGCTAATTTTTATAATGAGAAGAGAATAATTGTACTTTTTCTTTGCATGCTGGCCAAACACATGAAGACAGAACAAATTTTAAAGCAGCTATATCCCTTAGACCGAAAAGACGATAGAGAAAAAAAAACAGACAAAATCATCAACAAGATAAACCATCTTTGCAAGTTTGAAAAGGCGGACGAGATGCAGACAGATTTTGATTCTTCCTTCCAACAGAACAGAAAAGATTTTCAACAAGAGATAAACTGTATCTTCAGAAGTAAACATTAAGTTTCTTAAGAAATGAATTTAAGATAAAGAAAATAATTTTGATACAATATGTACTAATTATTTGAAAGAGAAATTGAAAGGTATGTGAAAACTTATTTTTTGTAAAGTCTAAGAATTGGATTATCAGTATCTCAGGGTTCATTAATAAGGATTTATGTTTGTGCTGACATTTTGGTGGATGTAAATTTTTTTTTAAACAAAAAGTGGGTGGATGACTTCATTGAATTGTTTCATCTTTTATAGGAACAGAAAAGTTAATGAAAAGCAAAATATTATGTAGCATTGCTGTGAAACAGATTGTGGTGGTAACACTGCATTATGACATAAAAATTAATGTTAGAATGAGAATTGATTTTTTAGCTTAAAAGAAAGTTTTTCCTTTTGAAAAACTAGTTCTCATTGGATCGCCTGATTGAAGCATTGTCAAGCCCAGTCAGTACTTAGATAGGGGATCATTTGGGAACACCAGGTACTGTAAGCAACCTTCTATAATCTGCTAATTTCCAATTCACTTAATTTGCATTTAATGACTACTGCTATTATTTTTATAACTCACTAGACATGAAAAGATTAAAAATCATAACTTTGCATTAGGTTTTGTTTAAACCAAAGTTAATTTTAAAAAATTAAAAAGAAAAAAAAATGGTGATCTTAAACTCTTAAGCTAATCTATGCCCTTACCCATAAAACCAACAAAAATCATTAATTACAACTGAAAAAAAAAAAGATATTTTTTGAGCAAAAAATTAACTTTCTTGCTAATTCCTCTTTTTTCAGAAAATTAATTTAAAATTAAATACCCTCATTATTATTGTTATTTAAATAACCCACAAAATGTTGATAGCCATAAAACAAATTCTGTTGAAAATTGAACCTGTGTGAGTACTTAATTTTAAATTAATTTTCTGAAAAGTGGAATTAGTGAGAAAGTTAATTTTTTGCTAAAAAATTTTTTTTTTTTCGGTTGTAATTAATGCTTTTTGTTGGTTTTATGGGTAAGGACATCGGTTAGCTTAACAGTTTAAAATTAGCATTTTTTTTCCTTTTCATTTTTTAAAATTAACTTTGGTTTAAACAAAAACTAATTCAAAGTTAAGATTTTTAATCTTTTCATGTCTGGTGAGTTATAATCTAAAAATAATAGCAATAGTCATTAAATGCAAATTAAGTTAATAAGTGGACCAAGTGGTTCTTTAAATTCTTGAAATTACAGATTCATGCATTTTCAGCAAAATAAAAAAAATGTTTCTCTAAGGGGAAAATCCATATTTATTCATATTGCAAATACTCTTACCCTAAAAAAATCTGTGTGGGTAAACTCAAAACATTCCAATTGACACTTCCAACCAGATATTCTTTCCAATGATTTTTAAGAAAATGACAAATTTGTATTTTTTTTCTTATAATTTGAAAAGCGCAGTAAATGTTTTAGATGTTTGTAATTTGGGGGGTGGTAAGAAACAAAATCTCTATATTGAATTTTTTAGATAGCTTCCTTCTTTTTTTTTCAAAGTTTGTGTAATGATATGCAAATGCCTGCCTAATTAACATAGCTAACTTATAGAGAATATATAAGTGCCCAAGCAGTAAAGGGAGGGTCAAAATATGATATGTGAGATAATGACAACCCTAGACTGAGAAAATACAAAGCAAATCACATTTCATAACAGTTTTTAGTCATTTACATTTCATAATTCATAAAAAGATCAAACACACACATGTGTGTGTGTGTGTATTTGGGCAGCAATCCCTCTTTTATACAGGTTTCATTGAAGATGACTGACAAGGCACTGTCATTAAGCTTTTTATTATATTTTACCTGCATTAATATAAATGATTTCTTTTTTGAACATAGGGTGTGTAAGAACTTATCTGAACTTATCAAGAATTTGTTTTTTTGTTTGTCTGAATATGTCAGTCAGTTATGTGCCATGTGTGATACATGCTTAGGCAATCATATATCTTTGGATACATGACTGACGAGGCAGATTTTTTCCTGCAGTAGGTTGCCATTTCTTTCTGCAGTAGACCAGTTACCATCCAAGGTTATAGAACCCAGTCTGTCCTGCTATTTACCCATAGCTGGGGGGAAAGAAGAGGATTCATACCTTTCCTAAGGGTATTAGCATGTAAGTGAATGTAATGGATTTGACTGGAATTCAAACTCGGCTCTCTGATTTCTTAATCTGAGTCACTATCACTTGATGAAGATAAGGAACAGCTAAGGCCCAGGATGGAGCCTTGGGGAACACCTGCGTTTGTGGGATAGAAGCTGGAGGAGAATTCATTGAGAATGACCTTCAATACACGGTTTGACAGGAATGATTGTATTAAGTCAAACAATCGACCTGAAATTCCATAACCCTGAAGCTTGCGAAGAAGGCTGGCATGCCAAACCCTATCAAATGCTTTGGAGATATCTAGAATGAATCAGTAATAGTAAATTTAGTATAGGAGAAGACGATCATGACTCTCTAAAACTTTCTATCTTGTGTGGCTCTTAGCAGGCCCCCATCCACCATTTTGTCATCAATTCACACAAACCCATCAGTTAAGTAGCTCACTGACCTTCCCTATCTCTTTTGCCCTCAGTCTGTACTGTGAGGATTTAGTTTTCCAAGCCCTCTTTCCTCATAATGTGCCTAAGGAATTTCAACAGTTTTTTTCCTGATTTTAAGCCTTCTTTCTGTTATCAATTCCTTTAAGCCTTCCTTGTTGCTTATTCGTTTTGTCCATGGAATTTTCAGTATCCTCTTGAACATAGAACAGGTGGTGTTAGGAGTAGTTTTGTCCAACACTGCAAATATTTATAAAGTCAAAATATTAACCTGAAAACTATTAAATAACCCTGTTAAATCAAAACTTTCATATGGATGTTGTGCATGATTCCAAACCTGTTCAGAAATATCTCAACTATCAGATGTATACAGCCACTTTCTAAAATTAATGGTTAAAAATGGTTTTGAGCAAGTGAAACCAGTGAATCTTAACAAAGACCACATCTCTTCAAACCTTGTAGATTGGCACTACAGAATTACAAGCATAGAACTGTACTGATTAACAGAAACCATATCACTTGAGAACTTTCAAAAGCTGCAACAACTAAAATGGATATCACATGTAACTTGAATATGAAATACTGACATAATGAAGATGCTGAAATTCTGCACGATTTCAAATAAAAAGCTAGGAAGGAAACCCCCATCAATACTGGAAAGAGCAATAACAGTTACTGGACTTGAGAAACCTGTTTTCTTGAAAAATTGTTTTAAGATAAAGATTTTATAAGTTTCAACTGAAAACTGTACTGGCTTGGTCAATGATTACCAAATGTTTCCTTATAAGGAAACAGCTAATATTATCATTACCATTTAGAGACTCAATTAGAGGATTGCAAAAAATCTGAGTGAATTATTATCATTTGCCAAGCAGTGCCGACTGCTTGATCTGCATTGTCTGTTGTCAGAAAATTTATAAGTGCCTGTTATTCATGGACAGTCATAGATAGATAACATGATTTTTATTTGTTGAATAAACTTTTCAAGCATATCTAGAATGATTACTTTGTTTGTTATGAAAAAAGCATAAGAAGAAATATAGGTCTCAATAGTGTAAGTCATGTGTCATGCCTGCACCAAACCTTTTATACAAATTGATAGGATGCAAAACCGGATGTTACAAAGCAATTTTTCCCGTCATTCAGATTTTCACATTATCTAAAATGTAACAGTAGCTTTATCTGATATAACATTTATTGATAATATAGCTCTTGTGAATTGCAAAAGATTGTTAAAGTTTTTAGTTCTGATATTCAGACAATCTAAAATGATTATTATGTGCTTTGCTGTTTAGACCAGCATGCTTGTCTTGATTTTTATAGTCACAATGCATTAAAGAGTGATTGTGCAGGTAGAGACATGAAAATCATGCATGGCAGATCATATATGAATGGAAAAGGGTGGTCATCAACTATTTTAGAATGAAATGATAATAAAAATGACATTGAAAGATAAGACAACTGAAAGAATCAGCACACATGTTAAGCATTGACACCCTCCTCAGTCAGTCTAGCATAGAGATGGATACCATTTGGGAAGCTCTGTTCAAGTAGGTAAGAACACTAAAAAAAAATACGACCATATACAGTCCTACAACCTGATTATAGACATTAGATTTAAGATTTTAGAATTTCAACAAGAGGTTCAGAAGATTGAGATGAGACACGTGGACAAGTGGATTAAAAACTTGGCTGAAGTGTTAGTTAAAATATATTGGGTTTCCTAGCATTTATGAGTTCTTGGTCTAGAAGGAGAAAATCAAGTCTTCCTTGAGAAAAGAATTTGTGCTATCTGTCAAAAGAGGAAAATGCTAACAGCCACATCATTTTGAAACACTAGTTCCCATATGAGCACTGAAGTTAAGCAACATTGAACCTGGTCAGTACCTAGATGGGTGACTGCTTAGGAATACCAGGTGCTGTAAGAGTGGATGTGCAAGTGGTGTAATGGCTCAGAAGTGTTAATCGGAGAGCTGATTTTCCAATTCCAGTTGAGTTTGTTATATTTATCTACACACACATGCTCTTGGGAAAGGTATGAATCCACCTTTTCTCCCCCAGCTATGGGTTAAATAATAAGACTAGTATCACTAAATCATTATTATCTCCCCTTTCCAAAAAATGTTTACAATCTAGAAAGGTTTCTGGTTTTAAATAACCTGATAAGATGTAAAAAATGAATCAATAAAAAAAGAAAAGCAGAGTCAAGATTGGGTTTGTTTGTACTTCCATACCAGTCTTGACCAATTGCAACCTTTCTTACATCAATAAAAGAAGGCCATTTTGGATGACTGACAAGAGACACTTAGATTTTGTGGGTCAAAAAGGTACTTGTGTGTTGAGTTGTGGATATGGAGTTTTAACCCTTTTGATTGATTCCAGTGAATTTTCTGATGTTGGACTTGCTGTACTGATTAATGACCATTGGAATTATGACTCTGGACTTAAGATTCTTGTATATGAACCACTCAGTTGTTATTTTCTACAACTGAAAAGGCATGTACAGCAGATGAAACCAACAAGTAGCATGAAGATGGATGAGTATTGATAACACTCATGAAGTATGAAAAGCAGAAGGAGAACAAACTACCCCCAAAAGCTTCCTCCATACAATTCGGTTACAAATTCCATAAAGGTTACTGATTATGAAAACAGACTGCTGAAGAAAGGTCAAAGGTACAACTGTTGAAACTTTGAGAACAACAACTAAAATGCACATGGTAAGCTGAATGACAAAGACTATAAAATTAATAATTCCTCATCTCAGTATAAAATGCATACAAAACTTGAGTTATTATTTTTTGTCCAAATTTCTAAGATGAGGAGTTATCATTATTTGCACTGTTCATGTTCAGACTATTGTCCTTATCTTTATCATCACAACTTTTTGGTCGTCCTGGATATGACGATAAACTACGTCCAACTGCAAGGCCTCTGATCAGGGGTGCTTTGAGGAGCATAGAACCACCTCTTAATTGTTGGTGTTCCCAAATCCACCCTGACCCGGAGTGGTAGCACCTGTTAGGATCCCAGCTATGGGCAAATAGCTAACCCCCAAACTGGGGTCAAAACACTATGAAAGTGTAAAAATAGATTTTAATATCAGAAATACTTTGTAAATCTTATTACCAGCAATACATTTTTGAAGAAAAATTATTACCACCAATAAAAATTTTGTTGGCATTAAATAACCCATTGAGGTTGATATACTGTAAAACAAAACAAACAGCTTTTCAGTTGTTATGCCCTCCTGCCTTCCTCAAGTGTATATCAATCTGGAGAGTTAGATGTCTGAAAGAATCAGTGCATATGCTAAGCTATGAGGATCCCCTTAGTGGGCCTAGCATAGAAATAAATACTATAGCCACTAACAAAGAAAGAAAGACAAATGACAACATGTCTGCAACCACAGTAGTAGCAGCAGTGAAAACATGACACCTAGCAACAGCAGTTCCAACATGATTATCAGCAGCCAGGTTAGGTTTAAAATTCTAAGTTTACTACAGCAAATTGTCCTATGGGACAATGGTCAATGGCCTAGTGGATAAAATCATTGGTTTGTAAATTTGATGACACAGTGGATGTGAATTCAATCTCTGGGTCAGGTAGTGTGTACTTGCACCCAGTGGAAATGGGCAATAACTGAACAGTATTATATAAAACAAGAACAGTGGAAAAGCTAAATAAAATAAAGGAAACAATTCAGAATTCCCAGTAGCTTACTCAGATTGATATACACCTGAAGAAGGCCAGAGGACAGAATGGCTGAAATGTTGTGATAACAACAAAAAAATGAGGACAATAGTCCAAATATAAATTGTGTAAATATTGTGTTATTATTCTCTAAATCATTCTGATTATTTGCATTATTATTATAATATTTTTGTTATTGTTATCACGATTCAGCCATTGTGCCCTCTAACTTACATCAGGGGTATGCTAATCTCGGTAACCTACAGGGAATTTTTAACTGAAACCTCTTTATTTAGTCTACTGTCCGTATCTAGTGATATCTGGTTTTTACTGCTGGATCCGTAAACACTGCCTGACTCAGAGATTGAACTTATAATTACTATGTCACCAAGCTTTAATCCACTAAGCTATTGTCTCATGGGAAAAATCTGTTCTATAGCCTTTTTAGAAGTGTTATCAACTTGACCCATGTGACTTATCTCGACCAAAGGGAGATAAGCATCTTCTGTATTCTTACAACACTATTTCAGCCAATCTTTTCTATAGCCTTTTTAAAAGTGTTATAAGCTTAAAATGAGAATGTATACATCAGGTCATCATAGATTTGAACATAAACTGGATCTCTTTGTTTAGAAAGGAAACTGAATATAGACAATAGCCTTGTGTTTGTAAATATTGGTTCCAGTACTGATTGAAGAAATTCATTAGGCCAAACCTGCCAATAGTGCATTTAATACCCACAATTCTCTGTTTTTTTTTTATTCAGTTTCCTCTTCACTCCTTTCCTTGCTAAAGAAAGAGATCCACTAGCTGTCTATATTTCTGAGATGATGTATTGTAAATATTTACATTATTTACACTGTTTGGATTGTCCTCATCTTTACTGCCGTATTCACAATATTTCGGCTATTGTCTTCTCTGGCCTTCTTCAGGATCTGTCTATATTACTGAGATGAGGTATTGTAATTATTTACATTATTTAAACTGTTGTCCTCATCTTTACTGCCGTATTCACAATATTTCGGCTATTGTCTTCTCTGGCCTTCTTCAGGATCTGTCTATATTTTTGAAATGAGGTATTGTAATTATTTACATTGTTCAGACTGTTGTTCTCATCTTTGATGCCATATTCTTTCTTTTTTATTTTTGTATCATTTTCATCTTTCTTCTCCTCCTTATTCACAAAACATACATTTATTCCCTTTCCTTATGAAGAAAGCATTAGTACGTCCTGGGTAAGATGATAAACTACATTTGACAGCAAGGCCTCTGGTCTGGAGGTTTTGAGGAGCGTGGAAACACATTCTTAATTGCTGGTGTTCCCAGGTCCAACCTGACCTAGGGTGGTAGCACCTGTTAGGGTCCCAGCTATGGGCAAATAGTTAACCCCCAAACTGGGGTCAAAAAACTATGAAAGTGTAAAAATAGGTTTTAACACTGGCAATATATTTTTGGAAAAAATTATTAACAGCAATATATTTTAGAAGACAGAAAATAACAGCAATACATTTTTGAACAAAAAATTATTACCAGTAACAAAAATCTTGTTGGCATTAAATAACCCATTGTGGTTGATATGCCATAAAACAAACCAAACCAAGGCTTTAGTATGGATCAGACAAACTGTAATCTGAACAAAAAAAAAAAAAGAGCTGGATAGTCTAAACTGCATTCAGAATGAGAATGTTGCGGGAATGTGTGGACATTTTGTTGCATTGCAGCTCAGACCAGACTCCAGGCTCATTGACAGGGTGCAGTTTCTACCAGTCAAATGCTTGTGGCTTAAAAATCACCCTTCTTGCAAGTGAAGAACAAAACAATTTGTAGCAGTAGACTAGATTTTATTCTTGGGTTGTAAACTACTGCTATGAATAAGTGATATAGAGATGGGGGCAAGTTGAGCAGTTCAGTAGGTGTCTTCCCTGTCCATTCTGTGAGGCCTGCTTCATTCCTTCTGTGTGCCTTTTTGTGGGGATGGTCAGTTTTTATAGAAAACAATTTTCTTTGTCTTGTCATCTACAGCTAAAAAAAGTAATTCATCTTCCTTCTATGATTTTCTCTTTCTCTTTGAGTCTCTTGCTATCTACTTTGAAGTTGACTCTACTTACTGATAATCATCAGTGGAAAGTAAATGTTTGTATCCATTTTTGCGACACCCCCCCCTGCGTTTTCAATTTAGCAAGACATCAGCTGACTCATATTCTAGTTTTATAGTAAATATTTATTGGCTCCTAGAACATTTGTTCTTCAAACAATATTGGTGAACCCATGTGAGTCTGGGTAAAAAAAAAATATGTAACACAAAACATGTAATTTAAAACAAATGACAATTAATGCAAGTTATTAACAAAAGGAATTAGATGTACACAATTGAAATCAAAGGAAAAAGACATTAAAACTAAGTATAAGAATGTGATTGTGTGTGTCTTTTTGTGAAACCAAGTGGGTGTGATACATGTTTGTATGTGCATGTGTGTGAGAATTCAGTCAACAGAAGACCAAGGATGTGAACATGCCTAGCAGCAGCAGCAGCATTCTTTATCTACATATGGATGCAAGAGGAGAAAGAGAATATGTTTGATTTTTTTTTTTTGTAGACTTAAATAACACCACCTACCAGGCGTTTTTTTTTTAATCATTTCACCCCAAGCAAGGCATGAATGCCACTAGTATGCAGGGAATTACAGAAATTGAGATCGAAGACTAGGTATAGGGGAGATTGAGGAAAGGATAAAAGATGAACGGGATTCAAGAAGACAGAAGACGGTGGTTAATATTGCATTTAAATTTTTGAAAGTTGTAGTTATCAGGGAAGCAAATAAATGGAAGGTTTCCACAAGTGAGAAGTGTGAGAAAAGAAACTGTTGGAGTAGAAGTGGCAGTTACATTTAACTATTCCAATGGTAAAAGCATGGGAGCTAAAAGCCAATCTAGTAGCATGGTTAAATTCATGTAGTCGGGACCTCAGAAAAAAAAAAAGTTTCTTAAAGCAGTTGCCACGAAAATATTTGAAGAAAAGACAGGGAAATCATGTCACAATGGTGAAAAAGTGACTGAAGTTGCGATGCCAAATCAAGATCGATTCGATCCTTCTTTAGATTCTGTCAAGAATCTATAGGATACAAATCCTATATCATTCCAACAAATGACAAAAAAACACAAAGTAGATTTGCACACCCACAAAATCGGATCAAAACGATTAAAAACAGATTTCACAATAAGGTGTGAAATT